ATGGGATTTGCTTTCTTCTAGTGTCCAGTTCAGCACCCCAGGTCCTCAAGACCCCGCTGGAAGTTGCAGATAACCAGAATTAGCTAAGAAAAGAGGCGAATTCCCCTTGGATCGAAGCACAGGAAGAGTAGATGCACCATTTTGCTCACACCGAGCCCAGTGCCTTGTCTTTGTCCACGGTAGTGGATACTGAATGAGAAAGTAGCAGAAAGGGGGTCTTACAAACCATTGCTGCCCTGCCGTGCCCTTCACCCTGGGAGACAGCAGAAAAGCAGTTCAGTGAGACGTGAGGGTTTATGGATTTTGGCATTTAAAAGGAAGCATGAGGAAGAGACAAGCTTGATGTTCACCCCGGTGCCACCTTTGCTACATGATACACCGGATGACAACGTAGTTTCTAGAACAGCAAATGTACACAAGGGAGTAGACTTAGGAGATACTGACATTAAGAAACCAAAGAAAATTTGGTAAGGGCTTGTCAACAGCTTCTTTCTTCTGCTTTCCGATGTTTCTAGCCTTGACACATGCAGCTTCGTGTATGAGGAGGAGCTGGAGCTCAGGAAGGGAGGAGGGCGACCAGGAGCTTAGAATGGAGCAGGAGCCGGGGGACAAAATGGGGATATAAAGAGTCTGCTTTCCCAGGTGCTGACATGGGACATGGTGTGGGTCCCACCTAACTTCTGGGCAATAAGAAAGGAATAGGGATTGAGAGCATAGAAAACTGAGACCTGCCAGCCTTGAGGCCACAGGTCCCCCAGCGTGTTACAATGCCTGCTGCGACGTGCTTCCATGCAGCGTGCTGCCAAAGGAATGAGCCCACTCCGGAGCAATCCAGCTTCATTTCCTCCTGGTATTCTCTCCTGTTTATGCACCCAACCTGGCCAAGTCCTGCTAGGCCCAAACAATCCCTCTGGAAGAGAAGGAAAAGCAAAGGGACTCCTAGAGCCTGTAAAGCACCTTCCTGCTGCCCGAAAGGAAAAGAAAGAAGTCAGTGCTTTGGAAGGCTCTTCTTTCCCCCCTGGTTCTCACTGTTTTCCAAGCTAAGAAGAGCCAGAGGCTGTGGGAATGACAGGATTATCATCACTGGGGCAATACAGTTCAGGTATTTCTCTCCAGTTCGTGAAGCAAGGAGGCAAGAAGGGAACGTACCTGCTTGAAGGGCTACACAGGGTGACACGTTCCTTGATGTTCCCTTCTAAATGCGGCTCTGAGTCATTCTACAGAGCTGATGAGAAAAAATTACCTTCCTGCAACAGAAATACAAAGGCAAAAGGGATTTGTTCAGCGTTCACTGCCCCAGCCCTGGCTCCGAGCCTGCAGCAGGAGAGAAGGGCTGGCGAGCTGGGTGAAAGCAACTTCTCCTGCAAGAAGCAGCCGTAGAAACAGCTCGAAACACTCACCTAAGGCTACGTGCAGCTGCAGTCCCAGGGAGAGGCGTGCACGGTCTTGTGTCTGCCTCCATCGGGCGAGTTCCTACACGTGCCAGGTCAAACGGCGCTAACGCAGTCATCCCCCCCTTTGTTTCCTCCAATCCTTGATGCATCTCTAAGGCTGCACCCCAAAACCTGCTCCTTCTGAAACAGAGCTATAGATAGTGCATATGTACCCCTCGTGGTGTGCATTGCCCCGAGGAAAGCCAATGGAGGTGGTCATGGCTGCGTGGCACTGGCTGGTAGATGGGGCTCTGAGACCCCGGGTGCTTCCTCAAGCACCCCAGCAGCAGTCTGTGGTCACCAGCACCAACCCAAGCTCCGACCTGGGCTCTCAGCACCAGCTCAAATCACTGCAGCAACCCGCTGCCCTCAGCCAGGGCTGAGCCAGCAAGCTCATGGGCAAGGAGGGCAAGGGGAAGTGCAAGCCATGATGGGGATTAATGTAGTTTATTCGGGTTTAATGCCATTTCTCCAGGTGCAGCAGCACTGTTAATTTAGCACCGCACTCCTACTCCTTAAACCTGTTCCCGGGCTCAGGACCTGCCTGTTCTTATACTTTACTGCTCACATCATTGGAATTGGACAAAAAGTGCCCATCAGGCCACCTTGTTGCAGCAGTGCCTGTGGGGGGGAGGCAAATACCGTGATTTCTGAGGGACAGAGTCACAGAATCATAGAACAGTTAGGGTTGGAAAGGACCTTAAGATCATCCAGTTCCAACCCTGTTGGGGGTCGAGCATGGACAGTCGGACAAGTCTACAGCAAGCTGTGAGAATATGAACTTATAACCCCGAGTAAGGAATGCAACAACAGGATAACAGTAACCGCAAAGCAAGATATAATGCCAAGCTAACACAAGCATTTAGGCCCAATCATAAAAAGAATAGCGGCGCGTGGACACCTCATGGACGAAGCGGGGCAGTCAATCAAGTAGTGCGTGATCGCGTGTAAGGGGGCTCAAAACAGTATATTAATAGCAGCCTTGTAAGCAATAAACGGAGCTTTTTGCAAATGTACATCGCATCGGTGTCTGCTCCCCTTCACCTGGCCGCTGCACAACCCCCCTGCCATGGCCAGGGACACCTCACACTAAACCATCTCACCCAAGGCTCTGTCCAACCTGACCTTGAACACTGCCAGGGATGGAGCATTCACAACCTCTCCGGGCAACCCATTCCAGTGCCTCAGCACCCTCACAGGAAAGAATTTCCTCCTTAGATCCAATCCAAACTTCCCCTGTTTCAGTTTGAACCCGTTTCCCCTTGTCCTGTCACTAAAGTCCCTAATGAAGAGTCCCTCCCCAGCATCCCTATAGGCCCCCTTCAGATACTGGAAGGCTGCTATGAGTTCTCCATGCAGCCTTCTCTTCTCCAGGCTGAACAGCCCCAACTTCCTCAGCCTGTCTTCATACAGGAGATGCTCCAGTCCCTGATCATCCTCGTGGCCTCCTCTGAACTTGTTCCAACAGTTCCATGTCCTTTTTATGTTGAGGACACCAGAACTGCACACAATGCTCCAGGTGAGGTCTCACGAGAGCAGAGCAGAGGGGCAGGATCACCTCCTTGGACCTGCTGGTCACGCTCCTTTTGATGCAGCCCAGGATACGGTTGCTTTCTGGGCTGCAAGCGCACACTGAAGCCGGCTCATGTTCATTTTCTCATCAACCAACACCCCCAAGTCCTTCTCCTTGGGCTGCTCTGAATCTCTTCTCTGCCCAACCTGTAGCTGTGCCTGGGATTGCTCCCACCCAGGTGTAGGACCTTGCACTTGGCATGGTTAAACCCCATGAGGTTGGCATCAGCCCCCCTCACAAGTGTGTCAAGGTCCCTCTGGATGGCATTCCTTCCCTCCAGGGTATCAACCGAACCACACAGCTCGGTGTCATCGGCAAACATGCTGAGGGCGCGCTCAACCCCACTGTCCATGGCAGCGATGGAGACATTGAACAAGAGCGGTGCCAACCCCAGCCCTGAGGGACCACACTCGGTCCCGGTCTCCCGCCGGACGCCGCGCCTTTGTGCGCACATCCAGTGATGCTCGGTGTGTCGAGGACCCCCTTCCCAGAGAACGCTCAACCCGCGGCTGTCAAAAACAACGCGCACTGCTCTATAAAGGGGGCAGGGAGGACGCGACCTGCCCGCTGAACCGGGGGTATTTAATTGCCGTTAATTACCGACGGAGGTACCGGAGGGGGCCGGCGACAGGCGGTGGCGCGGCCGCGCACAGCCTTCTGGGAGTTGTAGTCCTCGGGCGCGCCGCCATCTTGGTGCTGCCACTGCACAGCCCCGGGGGGCGCTCCCCGGCAGCCATCTTGGGGGGGGGGGAAGCGCTGTGTGAGGGAGCGGCTGGCGCGGAGCGTTCGGGTTTGGTGTGAGCGTGGTTTCCATGCTGGCTCCAAAGCGCTTTAAATCCCTCACAAAAGGCAGCCTCGGGGGTGCTTTGTGCGGGTTGTTCCAGGCCAGGTTGGACGGGGCCGGCTCCGGTGGAAGGTGTCTGGAGGAGCTTTAAGGGCCCTGCCAACCCAAAGCCGTCCATGGCTCTGTAAGGGAGGTCTTGGGTCTTGTGCCTCTGGTACCCCCTCATGACGTGCGCAGGGAACTGGGGCTGCGGGGAGCAGAGCAGGAGCAGGAAGGAAGGGATGACGGGGTGGTTAATGGGGCCTGAATTCGGGGAGGAAGGGGGGGATACGAGGGCAGGAAAGGCAACAAGAGCTTTCCTCGTGCGCTGGGAAGGGAAGGTGCCCCTGCTGCGGCCAGGAGAAAGGCGGTACCAGGCTGGGAAGCTGAGCAGGAGGACATGAAGGGATGGGAGAGGGCAGCAGGGGGCATGGGGACGTGGTCAATAGGACTGCAAAGCAACCAGGGCTTGTCCCGGGGCCGTTGATGCCCTTGGTGGTGCCCTCTGTGGAGCTGCTCCTGATGCTCTTCCCAGAGCCTGCGCTTGCGTTGCCTGAGAGAGAGAAGGTGACTCCTTCACGCAGCAGAAGGAATAATGGATGGTGCTCGTCAGGCTGCGACTCCAGGTGTGTGTCTTTGGCTTTCCTAAGGATTTAGTGAGTGAAACTGCAAAGATGGGCACTCCAACTCGCTGAATGCCTGTGAGCCTCAGCTCGGTGTCTGAATCCGACTCTGTTATGTATTTATACCATTACAGATATAGCTAGTTCCTTAACAGCACTGCTGATTTTCACAGGAAAAAAAGAAAGCACACGCACAAATCCTGCTGTCTCATTACACAGCCTGCATGTTTCCAACATAAATGCATGTATTCATGTTGGAGTAATCCAAAAAGATCCTTTCCTTCATGAGTCCTATGCCATTATTATGAGGAGCCAGGCCATCCCCATAGATCTCTCGGGCTGCTTCATTGCTCTGCAAACACGGAGGGGTGCTAATAAGCTTTCTTTCAAGCATGTGTTCAGATGTCAACACTTTTGCTTCTGTCAGAAGCTTAAAAATGGAAACAGTTTTCTCTTTAAGAAAACAGGACCCAAATAAGGAGATGATGGAGTGGTGAAGATTCCTCTAGCGAGTCTGTTCCAGCTCATTCCTTAGAAAGGCTGTGTGTGAAAGCTCAGAGAAGAGGCCAGTAGATCTGGGCTTTGTCCAGGGGTCTCTGGGTTTAAAGCTCTCTACCAGCACTTGAGCTCATTTTCCCTGTGGCTGGCCTGGGTGCAGCTTCTTGCTCTGCCCAAGCTGTTAAACCCCTCAGGCTTTCCTTTTGGGAATTCTAGTGGCGTGACAGAGACAACCCTACCCTGCTGCCAGAATGGAAGCTATCAAGAAAAAGATGCAGATGTTGAAGTTAGACAAGGAGAATGCCATTGACAGAGCAGAACAGGCTGAAACAGATAAGAAGGCAGCTGAGGACAAATGCAAACAGGTAAGAAGGAATAACCCCACGGGCTGTGCGTGCACTGTGGAAGTAAGTTTAACAAGACGGTGTTGCAACTTTCTGATTCAGAAAACAACATCATCTGAAGGCAGGTTTTCTGTTAAGCCTCTTTTGGAGTCTTTTTGCCTCTTTTTGATGTTAGGCTCATTCAGCCCGCCTGGGTATTAACTTCTCTTTTCAGCCAGCTGATTCTTTGCAAAATTAGCACTACCCACAGATTATGAGAGGGTTTTTTTTGTCTGAGTTTTCTTGAATCTGACATAATTGCCTTAACCTTCTTGTGCTTGCGATTCCGTGGACAAGGCATTACATATTCAAAAATCAAAGCTGTGTACCTTGAACACCTGTAGGACAAGCATTAATACCTCCTGAAGAGGCAGCTGTGTCTAAACATTCCCTGAGCCTCTCCTTGAAATGAGTTGGTGATGTTTGCTTGACTAAAGCTGAGTACACAGAGTGCCCCACAGAGGTGCCAGCTGTGACTCAACAGTGTTATTTGTTGTTAAGAGTAATCAGAAAGGTCTTAATTCAAAAGCTTTTAATTGAATTTTAGTGATATCATTCTCCTTTTGCTTACCCATGTTATTCTGGGGGTCTACCTCCTGTCTGAGCCGTAGCATTTTCAGAACGATCTCAAAATGCAAGCTGTCTACACTCGAGTTTCTTATAGCACTTCCTGTAAAATCCCCTTGTCTTTGCCTTGTGCATTCTCTAAATGTGGCTGCTTCTACTACATCCTCCAGGCTACTATAATAAGTAGTATTTATTTGACCAACTGTTTCTTATGTTCAAGTTTCGTTTGAGAGCCTGGATGATAGAACTAAACTTTCAACCGATACCCATTCAGCTAAAGCAACGGAAAAACGTTTCCAGAGGGTCAGCTGCTGCTGTCTTCCCCTCTGCCCCCAACATAAGGAAAGCTACTTGTCTCCTCCATGTCTCTACAGTAAGGTGCTGCAAGCTGCACACTTGTCACCCCACGTACATAGTCCCTATTTCTTCCCTAGCTTCAGAGGTGCTGATCAGATGCTGTTTCTGTTGGGCCTCTGTTCCACCCACTAATCTTCCTGCACTCAGTAACAGCCACAGCAGACTGTTCTTCAGAGCAGTTAATGGTGATTGAATGCTTAGCCTTTCTTTACATTTAGTCCTCAAAGGTGATTTCCTACAGAGTGATAAATGACACACTTGTGGGACTTTTCAAGTATCTATATGAGGATAATTCACAATGAAGAGCTGAAAGAGAAAAATCAATCTTTGATCCTACCCCTCTTTTCTGAGTTGTCTCAAATCTTTCAGCTTGCTTTTTTTCCCTCTGTGGGCACAGTACTTGAGTAGTGATTTTAATGGCATGCACAAAGGCAGCATCACCTCCTTCATCCTGCTCGCTGTCCTGCTGTTAAAGCATCCAAGCAAGTACACTCAGTTCTCTCACACTGTCTGGTTACTCCGAGTAAAAGTATAGCAACATCACAACAGTCAAGAATAGCACACTACCAAAAATGTCATTCAAGCTATCCTTGAAGCTAGAATGAAATCAGGCAGTGCACTCAAACACAAACTATTTTGAGTGAACTATTTTGATAGACTACATTTATGTGAAGGCAGAGCTAAATGGTTAAATGGGTTTCTCTCCAGACTGAAGTGTTTTGTATTGCAAATGAAATGATGGAGCAGATGGGTTTGCAGGCACACCCTTATCAGCAGCAAGCCTCCCTGATAATGTAAATTCTTCAGGGAGCATGAGACAGTTTGTCATTAAACAGTCTCCTGGCAGGTTATAAATAGTTCCATTCTAGTGTTGTGCTGCCTGGATTTATATGGTATGGAGGAGAAAGCTGGACTTTGCAGGAGGATGGGGCATACCTTGTTGGGCCCCAGTTAGTCAGGGAATAATTGAGGCTGGAAGGGACCTCCGAGGTCACCAAGTCCCACCTCCCACTTACAACAGGGTCTGCTCCTCCCTGCTTCCAGAGCATCCTGTTGGGCTTGAAGTGTCCTGAACAACATCAAACAATGATTAGGGAATGGCCACTAGCTATACAGGAATTTCCTAATAAATCAACAGGTAGTGTTAGGACAAACACAAGGACTTCATTTTAAAACCCTTACTTATGCTGTATAACTGGTGCAGGGTGCTGAGTCCAAAACAGAAATGAGGTGAAAAGGGCTTATACCATGTTATGTATTAAACCAGATCCTCTATATGCTGTGGCAGGGAATGATGCTCCAAGGACGGTGTGTTTCCAGTGATCCTTCCCTGGCAACCACTACTGGTCCTTCTCAAACTCCTTGCCCCAGCAGAACTTTGGTCTAGTCTTTTGTGACTCTTTGTATGTTATGTTAGGTTAAAACTGATAGTAAAGGGAAGTTTTAACCATACTGAACTGGAATTATTCATGGATCAGAATGGTCACTTTGTGTTTTGGGTATTTTTCTCTCTTGACAGGTAGAGGATGAGCTGATGGCTCTGCAGAAGAAGCTGAAAGGAACGGAAGATGAACTGGATAAGTACTCCGAGGCGCTCAAAGATGCCCAGGAAAAACTAGAGCAGGCTGAGAAGAAGGCCACTGATGTACGTACCTAAAGCTAGTATTTGTCTGCAACTACACTGTGTCGCTTGTGCTACGTACGTAGCAGCGACTGTAATGTTTGTATCACAGGACGTTGCTCAGGGGATAGGGAAGGCGATGTTACATTGCAGGTACAGCAGTCCCCTGCCTCCAGTGCCAAAATGAGCTGGGGCTGGCTGCTCTGCACCGGGGGTTGGATGGGTACCCAGAGGGGAGCTTGTAGTGCTGCACGCTCAGGGGTGTCTAAATGGGGCGGGGGGGTGGAATTCATGAGGAAAGACTTAAGGAAGCAGGAGGGTGATGTTCCAGGGAGGCTGGGCCAGGAGCAGGGGAACCCTGCGGCCTTAAGGATGCGCTTTGGCCTCGGCCACGTCGCAGGCGGGCGCGGCAGGCCCGGCCCCGCAGCGGTTCGCTCTGCCGGCACCACGGGCGGGTCTGGCTGCGCGGGGCCCCCCGCCTGAACCCCACCGCTGGGGCGGGGAGGGGGGGGAGCCCCGGGACCCCCGCGGGATGGGGGGCGAGGGGGCGGGTAACGGGCGGGGCGTCCGCGGGCGCGCCCGTCCCGGCGCTGCTTGCGCAGACTCCTCAGTGCTACGTCACCGCCCCCACCTCCAGCGGCGTGACGTCATCGGCCCATTGAAAGGCGCGGGGCCGCGCGCCGCCACGTGCAGCACCTCCGCGCCCTGCCCGCCGCCAGCGCCGCGCCCATGGCCGCGCCGAGCTCCCTGGAAGCGGTGAAGAGGAAGATCCAGTGCCTGCAGCAACAGGCGGATGAGGCGGAGGATCGCGCCCAGGTCCTCCAGCGGGAGCTGGACCTGGAACGGGACCTGCGGGAGAAAGTGAGACCGCCCGGGCTGCCTGCTCGCCTCTCTCGGTCGCTCTCTCCCGGGCTGCCCTGCTCCTTCCTTCCTGTCTCTGGCTCTCTCTCGCTGGGGCGTGCCTGGCTCTCTCCCGCTCCGGGAGCGCGGCTCGGCTGCCGCCTGCCTCCACTCCTCGGCTGCCCTTCTCGCTGCTCCGCTCCGCAAACTCCCCGCGGAACCCGCCGGGCTGCAGCCACGCCTCGCCCGCACTGACCCCCGGGGGCGCGGGGCATCGGCGGCGGTTCGGCACCGGCCCCGCTGCTTGTCGCGCTTCGGGGCCGTTTTCCTTCGGAAAAAGGCGTTGCGAGCACCGGTCGGCATCGGGGAGCGGTTGTGAGATTAGTAGGAAATGGCTGTTTAATTAGGAAAAAGCGCTGCATGACAACGAGCGGGGAGTTCCCGCCTCTCGGCGCCGCACCGCTGGCCCCAGCACAGCTGGGAAATGTCCGAACTGCTCAGAAATAACTTTCCCTCCTGGTGTTCACAGAGCAATGAGAACTCGCCGCTAGTGAGCGGCTCTCCCGGGGCCGGACAGCTGGTTTCAATTAGATTTGTGTGTGATCAGCCTTCCCGGCATCTTCCTGCTATTTTATCGCATGTCAGCGAGTTAGTTTTACCGTATAAGGACTGCGGGCTGCTGCTGGGAGAGGTGGAGCCAGAACTCCAGCTTCCCAGTGCCCCGTCTCCACAGCTTTGGAATCTTGCTTAATTAAACCGTCTTAAAAGTGGCCCGGCTAGTGGAAGGAGCTGCAGGCAGCCCCGGAGCAGCTGCCAGTTTTCTCCATGATGGATGCTTTGTGTGTAAATCGAGAAAGTTAAACACACAGCACTGGGTAGAAAACAAATGAAATGCTGGGTAATTGATGACTACAGGAATCCTGGGTCAGCTTCCATTTGGATCAGTCACTGAAATCCTTTCCAAGATGGTGCAGCTGCAAATGGAAACCACTTCCTCCAGCTTAGGAGCAGCGGTCGGGGACCCATCAAGTTACTTTTCCAAGTGTTTAACATAAAGCATCAAACAAGGACCTTTCCAGGATCTGTAGCCCAAAGAGTGTTTAAAAGATAATAATTAAAAGCTAATTTTATCTATGGCAGTCGTGCCCAGACTGGGGACAATTCAGTGCACAAACTTGGCAGTTATTAAAGTAGGGCTTGATTTCCTTCAAAGAACAAGCATTTAAAGGAGCAGTGTAGTAATAACCACCATGTATTTAGAGACACTGAGTTGTTGGTGTTGGCTGCATGTGAGCAGCTCTCCCAGCAGCCTCCATCTCTTATCTAGTCTGCTTTTTAAACATTAATAGTGTCTCCAATTAGTCTGCAGTTTATTCAATAACATAGAAACAGATCTTATTAAGAACAGCCTTCTGCTTAATCCCTTAACTACTACAGGAAGCAGTGAAAAGGGGAAGTGAACTTATTTTAAGAACACATCTCATTTTTGCCCTATTTATGTTACAAAGCTGAGGGTCTCCCCCACGCTGAGGCCAACAGCATCTGCCCAGCTGAGCACGTAAAGGGAATGAAATGGCTTTAACCAGGGGCAGAGGAATCTGCTGTGAGGTTCTTGGAACAATCCATGATGGAAACAGTTCAGGTTTTAACTGTGAAATCCAGCGGGGTAGATGCAACACCCGGATCTGAAAATACTTCTCCATGGTGTTGAGTCCTTTGTTGTAGGGCAGGAATGATAAGTACCATTAGGAAAGAAAGGAGCAGCACATACTTCATACCTTTAAATTCCTGAGATGCCTTTGTTTAAGCAAACGAAAAGCAGCCCTGGGAAACAGAAAGTTTCCTCTGTGTGCCCAGGAGACGCCTGCACAGGTTGAAGGGAGCGTGAGTTGAGAGCATCTGTCAGAGCGTGAGAGTGGCTTGTCCGTGACCTGGGTCTGGTGGTTGTATTCCCAACAGGCTGAAGGGGAGGTGGCAGCTCTGAACAGGCGTATCCAGCTCGTGGAAGAGGAGCTGGATCGTGCCCAGGAGCGGCTGGCCACGGCCTTGCAGAAACTGGAGGAGGCCGAGAAGGCAGCGGATGAGAGCGAGCGGTATGGTTCCTCCTTCTTCTTTCTTGTAGAGCAGAATATGAATCAAATACTCCTGTATCATTTAGTACCTGCATGTGCTAATTGTGGATGGCAGGTCAGAGGCTCAAAACTTTCCTATAAGCTTGAATAAGTGATTCTGTTAACCTTGAGGAACGGGATGGTGTGGGCAGAACAGGGTATTTTGGTTCTAAATACTGAATTCTGCCTTAGGACCTTTGAAATAAAAGAGCTAAAATGCTTCGACATTAACCACCCTTGCTTTGACTTCTGCAGAGGAATGAAGGTTATTGAGAACAGAGCAATGAAAGATGAAGAGAAAATGGAAATCCAGGAAATGCAGCTGAAGGAGGCCAAGCACATCGCTGAAGAGGCTGACCGCAAATACGAAGAGGTAAAAGGGCTGAGGGAAGGATTAAACACATGGGAGGACCAGGAACAGCTTTGTTACTCCTCATGTTACTCGCTCCTTGTACACTCCTCACTGCGTTCAGCTTGGGAACGTGTCCAAAAGGGAGCATCTTAGATGTTTAATACTAAAAACGCCACAAAAAATGTAACTTTTGGGGGAAAAGCCTGCCCTGGATGTGCGTGTCGGTGTTAACCTGATTTCTTCAGTCAGAAGGGAATCACGGGCATGGTGCTTTGAGAGAAACACCTAAGAAATTCCAGGCTGGCTCCAGAATGGTCGTTTTCTCTCCACAGGTTGCCCGTAAACTGGTTATTTTGGAGGGTGAACTGGAAAGAGCTGAAGAGCGTGCAGAGGTGTCTGAAGTGTAAGTAACTTCAGCTACATGGAAGCGGTTTAGAGCACGGCGTGTTTCAGTAGGAAAGCCTATTCCTGGTAGGCACGTGTGTCGTGTGGGTAGAAAAGCTGTTTTGTACCTGTGTACCCAGTTTTCTCCATTCAGACTGATTCCCTTGTATGTGAAGTCGTAACAGGGACAGTAGTAATTTTGTCTTCTTTTTTTCCTGTAGTAAGTGTAGTGACCTTGAAGAGGAGTTAAAGAATGTCACCAACAACCTGAAGTCTTTGGAAGCTCAATCTGAAAAGGTGGGTTCTGTCAGTAAATGAAGGGACAGGGGCACAGTCGGAGCTTGTACAAAAACCAGAGGGACGGTGAAGGGCTGTGCTGCCCAAACCCAGAGCAGTCCTTGGGTGATTCTCTGCAACACAGCTTTGAGCAGAGCAGTCCTTGGGTGATTCTCTGCGACACAGCTTTGAGCATGTCCTTTCCCACACCCCCTGGCTGCTCTCAAGTTCCTGATCTTGCTCTTTTGGGGGGTTTTGCCCTCTTCATAACACTTGATTTCGATAATCAGGCTCTGGAAGGCTTCGTGCTCTCACCTGCTCACCTCTTTCTGCACTGCAGGGGCACTTGTGCCTGTTAAAGGACAAGATGATAACGAAGGAAAATGATAACGAAGGGAAGGAAACCCCTTCTTGCAATGGGGGTTTATGGACCGGAGTCTGAAATGTCTCCGGGAGGAGGGAAGCGCGGAAGAGATATTTGCAGTTTGTGGAAAAGGAAAAGTGGTTATAAATAGGTCGGGGCTCCATAAACACGTGTTATTGTTGCTGCAGCTTCCCTTAAAGAGTGTTTATTGTTTTCACAGTACTCGGAAAAAGAAGATAAATACGAAGAAGAAATCAAGATTCTCTCTGACAAGCTTAAAGAAGTAAGTTTGTGCAGCCTCAAACTGCATTTTGGCACCGTGCTTTTAACAGCATCCAGTTACTTGATTTCATTTTTTCTAGGCTGAAACTCGTGCTGAATTTGCAGAGAGAACTGTTGCCAAACTGGAAAAGTCTATTGATGACCTGGAAGGTAGGAAATCACTGGAGTTTCCTTTGAAAGTGGGCAGTTTCCAATCAAAACAAAATCCTGGGAGCGGGTGGTGGATTGTATTGGGCAAGGACAGTGGAATGTGTTGGGTGTCAAATGTCCATCAGTGCCTGTAGGCAGAGGGAGTTCTCCTGATGGAGATTCTCTTTTGAGAAGCTGGTAACACTGAACCAGGTTTGGGCATCTCAGATGTGGGGGCTCCCAGGCCCTTCTGGTGTAACCAGATCACAACCTGCTGCATTCCATAAGTGAAAAATGATCATTTTAAGGTTAAAGAAAGGGAAGTGTAGGGCAAGCTCCTGCTCTGCAGCTGGGGGGGTTCCTGCTCTGTACTGGTGCTCAACTCGGCATCTTTCCTTCTCTTGTTTCCCTCCCCAACTGCTTCCTCTGCTGCCTCGCCTTCCCTGCTGCACATCTCCCGCTGTCCGCCTCTTCTCTGGACTGTTTTTCCACCTCTCTTGCTGCAACCTGCCTCCTGCCCTGGGGCCGATAGACGAGCTCTACGCTCAGAAGCTGAAGTACAAAGCCATCAGCGAGGAGCTTGACCATGCTCTCAACGACATGACTTCTCTGTGACCTTCACCGGGGCCGGGCCGCTCTGCTCCCCACGTCTCTCATGCTTTCCTTACCTGTAAAACCTGTCCCTTCTGTGCAGCAGCCACAGGCGCCCCTTCTGCCTCCTCTGTAAGAACCGAGCTCAATAAAACCGAGATACCTCGACCTCTCCGCTTTGGGCTTTGCTTCTCTAGAACTCTCCTACAACCCACAACGGTGACACTGACCATGGCACCAGGATGCACACATGGTGCCGGGGCAGGACCCTGCACTTGGGGTCATGTTGAATCAGTGTTCCTAAAAACACACGTAGCAGCAGAAAGCTCTGAGCATGTCCAGTGTGTGCTGGCAGTGCTCCATCTGCTGGGTTAAACACCTCTGGGACAGCAAAAACCCTGAAGGATGTAAATCACATGTTAATTATGGTGCATGACATGTGAGACATGTACAAAAGCCTCACTGACAGAGCAGTTACCAAAGAAATGGGTCTGTTTTGCGAATGCAGTTACAGCGGTGTCCCAGACGTGAAGGTAAGTAATCATGGGGTTATTCAAAGAGAAAATAACGTGGTTTAAGTCTTGGTTTTTCTTTCTTCCCAGAAAAACTCACCCAAGCCAAAGAGGAGAACCTGGGCTTGCACCAGACACTGGACCAGACACTCAACGAGCTGAACTGTATATGAAACGGTGCCGGACGCCCGCGCCGCCAGGCACTGCCCCCTCCACCCGCACTTCCCGCATCGTCCCCCGCACCCTGCCAGAACCCATAAGTTATGGACAGTGCAGCTGCACCCGAGGCCTTGGTGCCGCCGCGCCCCAGGAGCCAGCCCTGGTGCCACCGCGCCTGCAGCCTGCAGGAGAGCGTGAGCCGCACCCAGGGCCGCTCTGTGCCGGTCCCCGCCAGCGCGGCCGCAGCTCTCGCTCCCGGTCCATCGGTCGTTTCTATACAGCCCCGGTAGAAGCCGTCCCCGCGCAGTAGCGTCGCCCCCGCCGCGAGCCTCTCACCGACGTTTCGTATTAAACCGTTTCTCACAGTTACCAACGCGTTCTCGCGGCCTCTTTGTAGCGTTTCCGGTCGGGTGACGTCACGCCCCAACACGTCACTCCCAGGCGTGACGTCAGTTTATCCGCCCCGCCCCTCGCGCGTCTTCCGCCCGCAGCGGGAGCGCCGGCGCCGGGCTCCTCCCGTCGGAGTCGGCTGTGACGCGCACCGCGCTCAGCCAATGAGGGCGCGGCGGGCGCGGGAGGGGCGGGGCCCGCGAACATGGCGAAGACGTACGATTACCTCTTCAAGCTGCTGCTCATCGGCGACTCGGGCGTGGGCAAGACCTGCGCGCTCTTCCGCTTCTCCGAGGACGCCTTCAACGCCACCTTCATCTCCACCATCGGTGAGCGCCCGCCGCGCTCCCTCCCTCCCTCGGGCCGGTACCGCTTTGCTCCGCCGGGCAGCGGCGGGGGAGGGCGCTCGGCCCCGGGGCTCCTCCGCCCGTGACTCGGTGCCTTCTCTTTGCAGGCATTGACTTTAAAATCAGAACCATAGAGCTGGACGGCAAGAGGATTAAGCTGCAGATATGGTAAGAGCCGTGTCCGGGTCGGTGCGCGCGGGCCACGTTCCTGCCAAGTTTTGGTTGCGTTTGTGCGCTTTGGGAGCTCTTAGAACCCCAAAGACAGCTCCGGTGCCCCCAGTGACTCTGGTGGCTGTAGCCGCCGTGTGCCGGTGGTTTGCGTGACCCCCGTGTTCTCTCCGGTGCAGGGACACCGCCGGGCAGGAGCGATTCCGAACCATCACAACCGCCTACTACCGGGGAGCCATGGTAGGAGCGTGGGGACGGGCTCTGTATTTACCCGGTGCCGGTGCTGGGGCAGTGGGGGAGCGCCTGGGGGCAGGGCCCCTCCATGAGAACGCGTCCCGGGCACCTTCCATGGCCGAGCAGCCGCGGCTGTGTTAGGCGGCACCGTGACCCAAGGGTTTCCAGCGTAGCTGTTGTTCAGTGGCTGCTTTGTGCTGTGAAAGGAGAACTTTAACTCCTGTCTGAAGTAACACCCGCTGAAGCTGCCTCCTTCTACTCTTTAGGGCATTATGTTAGTCTACGACATCACCAATGAGAAATCCTTTGAGAACATTCGGAACTGGGTCAGGAATATTGAAGAGGTAATTTCTCTGTTTCCTCACTGAATGGTAAAGGTGCTGTTTCTGCCAACGAAAGTAGTTGGAGCTTTATTGCTTCAGATGCGTTGAGCTCCTTTTGAAGTTGAAGGGAGCCAAATGGAGTGCAGATCAGTGGTAGTGACTCCTGGAATGCTGTGGTGAACAGTAACTGAGGGGGGGACGAGGGGACCCAAGGGGTGATGTGTTCCTGCTGCTGCAAGTGGTCTGGGAGCGCTTGTGGTGCAGGACACGCACTGGGACATGGGCTGTAAATCCCTGGGAGGTGCTGAGCACCAGCACCTCCATGGTAGGGCCTCGGTGCGTGCCTGGGCTCCCGGGGCAAAGCCTGTGGTGTGTTTGTGTCTCAGCACGCCTCTCCCGATGTCGAGAAGATGATCTTGGGGAACAAATGCGATGCCAATGACAAGAGACAAGTGTCCAGGGAGCAAGGGGAGAAGGTGAGTGCTGCAGCGTCACCCCCTCGCAGCACGGGCTGGTCCGCGGGGGTGGAAGCAGCTGTCGGTGTCGGGCCTGGGGCGATGTTTCCAGGTGGAGCTATCGAGCCTTCCCCAAGCTGCAGCTGCAGGGCCTTGTCCTGCGCTGATAAAAGCTGGGTCTGTGGGAAGGGTTCGTGTCCCTTCTGTGCTCGCCACGTGCCAGGCAACGGCCTGGAGGTTTCCTGAGCCAAAAGGAAGAAAAGGTTTGCTGGAGCTGGGCATCGAGGAAGCGTCTCTCCTTGGCTGAGAGCTGCTGAGATGAGGAGGCCGGGTTGTCTTTGCAGCATCAGGTGTTAGTTGAGGTCGAGGTGGTACATTTGCACACTGCAGATGCTACAAGGCTGAGAAGGTGTCCACGCAAGGGCAAATACACCAAAGGAGCAGATTACAGCGTAAAGCAGCCGAGCAGAGCCGGTGGGAGCCGATGCTGTCAGGAAGGAGATTCAGTTCCCAATATTTGCAGCTTGTTCTGCTTGAGCAAATCCCCCCATTCCCATGAATCACGCCGGGGGGGGAGGTTGGAGCTGTTCCCTGTGCTGCTGCTCAGGTTGGAGCTGTTCCTGTTCTCACCTGCAACTGGTTTGTGTGCAGCTCGCTGCCAGCTTCGGGATTAAGTTCATGGAGACCAGCGCAAAGGCCAATATAAACATAGAGAACGTGAGTACCGGGACCCCCCCTGCCCCTTGCAGGACTCATTGGCTTGTGCAGATGGGGTGGGAGCACTCGGTGCTGTGTGGGGCTATGAAATGTCCTGTGAAGACCTTCGTTGCCCAACGTTGTGCTCCTTTATTTAATATGGGACGTGCCACAGGGGGCTGAGAGCAAAGTGAGAACCTTGGCTCGTGTCTTTGCATCACTGCTGTGATTGATAACGGGCAGCACTTTCCTGCTCCATAGACCTGGGCCTGCAGGTGTGGCCTGGGCAGGGTTTGGGGCTCAGAAGGGAGGTTGGGAGTTGGAAAAGGAGCATTAAAAACCCAGAGGAGGGGGGGAAAAGCTGAGAACTTGGCTCTTCAGGAGCTCGGTGTACATAGAAGGTTGGGAATGCAGCTCATTGCTAAGCAAAAGTGTTCCTGAGTGCATCTTATTTGCCATGTAACACCCAACTGTTGCACTCACTGCAGGCATTTTTCACTCTGGCAAGAGATATCAAAGCGAAAATGGACAAGAAGTTGGTGAGTAACTTTTATTTCATCCACGTTGTATTTCAGTGGGAAACAACCCCAAAGCCAAAGAGTGTGGAAGAAATATTTTGTGGTCTTTTACATGGGGAGTGCACCAAATGTCAGAGGAATTAGTTCCTAGTTTTGCCAGGCCAGGCTCTGACCTTGGCTTACCACCAACTGTCTGTGCAGTGCAGGAGGTGGGTGCAATGGGTGAGCTTCTCTGTTCTCTTGAAAGGAAGGGGTAGAGGTGTGGGTCTTGCTGTGGATTCCTACGTGTTTGAGCATTTACTGGGGGCTTTTTATCCTGGCTGCCTCTGCGCCCATGGAAGGCAGGAGAATGGGTGCAGCGGGTGCTAGAGCTGAAGGCAGTGGCTGCAGTTCTCTGCTGGATAAGTAACAAAATACTCTTTGTGTCTGCAGGAAGGCAACAGCCCCCAGGGCAGCAACCAGGGCGTCAAAATCACCCCGGAGCAGCAAAAGAAAAGCAGCTTTTTCCGATGTGCTCTTCTGTGAGGGACACGGCCTTAACCCGAGCGGCTGCTCCCTGAGCTGGACTCTGCCTGCTCCGAGCGGGCTTTCCTCTGGCTGTGGACTTTGCATTCTCAACCCTGTCACGTCGCGACCGTACGAGTAAGGAATTGGTTCTTTTAGGAATTGTCTGACTCTTCAAGTTTGGAGACGAAACAAGTTCATTTCTGTCAGATTGCCCCGGACCGTGTTGTCTAGCAGAGGGAGTGCAGAGCACCTGAGAGCTGTGCTACAGCACCTTTGCTGGCAGGCTTCTACCTTCTGGTTTGTATCCATGATATATCCAACATGGAGAGATGAAGTTACGACCAAAACAAGAGATGGAAACGCCAGTACTAGTGAAGTACAGGTATGTGTAGGTGAGACGTGTGTGTAGCCACGTCTAGAGGTGCATATAGAACAATTGCTTCTAGACAGCAAAGAATTGTGCTGCTGTGAGCAGTAGAGGCGTGTACCTTCTTGGAAGGTAGAAGGAAGCTTTCTGGATCTCCACCTCTTGGCTGCTATAGAGAAAACCCCTTTATCTGCCTGTTACAGTTGTGTCACTGTGGACAATCCACGAGTACATCTGAAGTTAAAAAATAACCCTCCTCGAAAGAATCTCTTATTTTTTTAAGAAACCAAAGTGTGCTGTAAATGGAATGGTTCCTTCCCAGCAGGAATTATGTTCTCCTTGTTAGACATGACTGTGCTTAATTAAGAACTCCAGATGTTCAGACGTGTTTCAGGGGAGGCAATGGCTACGGCAAGTCCCGTGCGAATGGTCTGTGGTCTGTTCTTAGAGAAACAGGCCTTGGTTCAGGCAGGGACACTCACTCAAGCATTCCAGCTTTTCCTTCTCCACTTGAGAACAACTCCAGATCTGTCATGATGTAATAGCTCAGTTTATATCGTGACAGGAACATGTATTGCACTGCTTCCAGTGGCGTGGCCTCGCGCGCACTTTGCTCACGTACGCAAAGGAATGTTGCACATGCAAACACTTTCTGCAAAGCAACCTTGTGAAGCTGAGATTTGCCTCGCTGCTGACCCGGATTTCAGGCAGCAGCAAAGCTGTCGCTGGTGAGCAGCAGTGCAGACGGTGTTAGTCCTCAGTGGAAATAGTCTATGTATTTATTCTGATATACACAGTCTAGTACATTCCAATGTGTAAAATGTAACAGCCAAGTAAAGCTCCTCCATAGCTCATTACTGTCAGTTCAGAGGCTGTAAGCCTGACTTCATTAGGCTGACATAAGGAGCCAGGAAGAGCCATCTCCTTCAAAGTCTGCTGTGGAGTGATTGCAGTTATGGTGTATTGAATTCAAGCAACCGTATCAGCTGTGTCCTGCAACTCACTGGAATTGTTCACATGCTTTGTTTACATCAACAACTGCACTTCAAGGGTAAAATTAAAGCTGATTTTAAAGTTAATGAATTTACTCACCAGTTTTGTTTTCTCCAAGCTTGTGGTATTACAGCCTGGCCTCAAAGGAGCGCTCCTGAGTATTGCTGTAGTTAATGATCTGTCAGATTCAGACTGAAACTAGGAGTCTGCAGCATGCAGCTGGGCTCAACAGGAGCATTGCCTGTTTTTCTAGAATAGAAAAGGAAGTTTTCCTGCAGAAGTTACTGGTTTATAAAAACGCATTTTCTGTGCTACCAACCTTTTATGTTTAAAGAGCAGATTACAGTGAGCTCTGTTCGTGATTAAAATCATACATAGAGCTTCCCTCTAACCAGAACCTTATGATGTTGTGTTTCTTTTTTTGCTTGCTTGTGGCTTTTTAGTGTGAGGACTTGGTGACCGTGCACCATAGGGGATGTACACGCTGGTGTGTCTGTAGGATAAATCACTTTAAGCTACTGAAGAGCCTTCTAGTCAGTATGTGCTTCAAAGCATCGTTAATGCAGAGCTATAGATTGGGCAAGCAACACTTTGATCTTGAGATGAGGATGCTTTTAAAGAAACACTGTGCACGCTTCAAGAAATGACTGAGGCAGAGGTGGGGAGGTCATTAAGGCATGGGCTGAATGTTGTTTTCCTGCACAAAACTCGTCTGTTTAATGATTTCTTTCTGGCTTGGTAGTAAATGTGGATTGTCTCACATCCATCCTTCTACTTCAGTAGAGCCAGATGCTGCAGCCAGACTTTTTCAAAGGGACTGGAAAAACAAGTGGTTGGTCTAACTTGATGCCGTGGGCTGTCCACCATGATGCTGCCTGGCGGCAGTATCTAAACTGGTAACTTGTCTTGCAGTGAGAAAGCAAACTATATTCATTTCCAAGTAGATAAAACGTGAAGGATGGGATTGTGGTTTTCACTCCTCATTTTCTAAATCTGAAGTTACTCTTTCATTCAAAATGAGTTCTGTATGTGAATACCTTTTGTTTCAGCCTGTGCTGGTTGTTGCACATGTTTATGTACCTAATTTATAGCGTGCTTTCCTTTTATGACATGATTTGGTTTACTCCATGAACAACTACATTACTGCCCAAACTCAGGAAGTTTCATAGTTACTGTGATTACAGTCATCACTGTACTTCTGGGGTCTACGGTCTCTACACCAATATTAAATCAGAGCAAGCAATATGAAACATAAAATGCAAATGTAAGACAGTAAAAGGTTGAAGAAACTGCAGTTGTACGTACACTTGACCGCATGTTGCTAAATGTGGACATCAAATCTTGGAGAAGGACGATATGTAGTTGATGTTTCCATCACATAATTAAATTACTGTGGGTTTTAAGTTCTGGAAGACACGAGTCTGGAAAGAGGTACTGTGTAAATACCTCCAGTAACGTGTTTGAGCTTTCTTTAAGGGAGAAAAGTTTTTCAATCAGATACAGAATTTGTGTAACGGAGGAATTTCAGTGGATCTGAAAAACTAACTCTGCTTCCTGCACATTCTCAGTGTCTAAATGCCACTAAAATTTCAGGTAATGGAGTAACACTTGGTTTGTAGGGAAACAAACCCATTTTTGAGCATGTTCTCAAACTCCCTTCCTTTAATGAGGATCACAGAATTCTGTGGCTGACCTTACTTTTGAGGCTGGTTGCAATATTTCAGATAGTCTTCACCCCCTTTGGGTGTGGGCTGGTCAGGAGCTCGTCTGTCAATAAAAAGGGGAGCTGCAGTCTGAACACTGCCATTTTAACACTTCTGTTGTCTTGGTCCTGTACCAATGGGCACACCTCATATTCCTTGACATCAGAGCCTTATGCCAGCATCAGACCTTCAGCCTCAGATTTATAAATCCTATGGATTATTGTAAGTCTCTTTACTGCTGCTGAAACTTCTTTGGTGTCTCCCTTCATGTGAGATGCTGCTCATCTCGCTGACAGTTGTTAGGGGATGATGATTGTAGTGGTGGTGTCTTTGGCTTGATGATCATGCTCAAAATCTACCATGATTTCTTGTTCTTTTGGACTTGAACTGGCTGGTGTCTGTGCTGGAGAGGAAATGGACAAACAGCTGCGTGGAGGATGGTCTCCATTAGTACCAGAAGCTCAGAGGGGTTGGGAAGGAATGAGGCTAACTTCTGTCTTCATTTCTAGATTAACTAAGGAGCTGTTCAATTGAACGTTGATGGTAACGTGCAGTCTGATTATTTCAGGCTGCCTTATTCTTTGACCCATCTCTTCCAGTGATCGTTGGAGATCTTGTTCCTGTGGTCAATGCAAGTTTTTTGGGCTGGGCTCTCCAGCCCTTCTGCAGGAATCGGATGCTCTACGTTGGGCGTGAGTTGGGACTTAGGGCTTTGCTTTGAAGGGAACTTAATGCATCCCAGAATTTTGTAAAACAAGTGTAAATTGTGTTTTTTAGAATGACCACTTTTGGCTGCCACCCTTCCCACATGGCAACTGCTTTCTGAAACACTTCTCCTTGATTTCCATGTTTGTATGAAAACCAGACCTCTTGTTTATTACAGTATGTATGTTTTTACTCTGTTGTACAGGACCCTGAGCACTGCATAAATAAACTTCTTTATGAAAAGAGAATTTTACCAACTTAGTTTCAGTCCTGTTCATCACTCGTGCATGCAGGTTCTTGTGTGGGAAATAGGATTATTTATAGGAATAGAAAGGAGGGACAGGAACCTGGGGGAGGCTCTCTTGTCCTTGGAAATATGTTCACTTCTCATTATAAATTTGAAAGTAGAAAGCTCTTCTCTGTATAGTTTGATACAAGTTCCTTTATTACCTGGTGCTATCTATTTCTCACCTCTCTGTCTAGGTCAGATTTGCTTTAGCTGGGGGGAGGGAGGAGGAATAAAGTTTTTTTACATTGCAAGGAAAATAGACATTTTGATAAATGACAGAGAAATCACGATGAAGAGCTTAATGAATTGCTCCTTCTAAAGAGGTAAAAGAGAGAGTTCTGCAACTGGTTCAGTTACCAGAAGTTGTCCTCTTTGCTCCCTTCCTTTTGCTCCCTCATGGACGGTGATCTCAGTAATAGTTTTTGAAGGTTCAGGAAATGCTTGCCTCCACATGTTTCACTAGATTCAGATTCGAATGTGAAATGTGCTATTAAAGAAAGAGGAAGTAATGATCACTTATGTGTCGATCAATTAAAAGGATTCACTACAATTAATCCTATAAATTGGAAACTTTGTACATTAAGAAATGCAACATTTGAGTGCTGCTTTGTGCACGATGTGTGTCGGAAACCACAGTAAGACTCTGCCAGGCACCATCTCGTATACTTCTCAGTGGAGCCTAAGAGCTAATACATTTTAAGTTGAGGACTTAAATGTCTAAAATCTATCAGAGGCTCCAAAAGCAACTCAAGAAGCCTCCCTGCTTTTTCAAGCATCTGTTTTACCCAGTGGACAGCTCTACTGCTACTGTCAGGGATCTGCAGTGACTGAGGAGACATAAAATACACACTATAGAGACTTCTGACAAAAAAAATAAGATCAATCTTGTGTTAGAAATGCAAAGCAGATCTTACCTAAGGAAATCTGGAGCCCGTATTATCATATGCTGGAAGTCTTCCAGAGACAGCTTGCCATCGTTGTCCACGTCAGCTTCGTAAATCACCTTTTCGCATACGAGGCTCACTTCTTCTGGGGTGAGTTCATTTCGGGTTAATTTGTTGACTGTTTTCTCCAGATCAGATTTGCATATGTAGTCATCGTTGTTAAAATCTGGCAAAGGAAGCAAAAGGGATTCAAAGTGACAAAACTCAGCCCTTTGACGTGGTCGACTGCCAAGCCCTAACAGGAAAGGTTTGGTTCCCAGGGCATGATGTATTTACGAGGAGAAATTTCAAATCAGAAATGCTTATCTGTGCTTGCTTGTGTAAAAATGAAACAAAATTAAAAATCCTGGAATAATCCCCCCCGTCATACTTAAGGGGAACGGTTGTGAATAGTTTCATGGCTAAACATAGCCTAGCCATCCTTAAATTGCTCTAGTAAAGCACTACTACTGAACTAAAAGCAAGAGCTAGTTAAGTCGAAGGAAGAGAACGAGCTGTGCAGTTTTGGTGGGGCTTTACTTCTGTGAGACCTTGGCTGAATCATGCACAGTTTAAATGGTGAGAAAAAGCTGTTGGTTGGTTGATGTATTCTTTGGCTTTAGCCGATCATAAGGAAAGTAACTGCAAAAAGAAAAACAATCTTTCAATTTGTCCTTGGAGCACGATGCTGGAAGTGTGCTCCTCACACCAAAACCACCCCACAGCGTATTTATGGGCAGCCAGATCGCTTGTGCTGCACTTTTCCAAGCAGTCCCTCAGACACAAGTGTTTCTTACATGTTTATCAGCTCTTGAAAGCTGCAGATAATTTCAGGTTGTAAATTTTGGAGTAAACCCTAACCCCAGATAAAGAAGAGACAAAAGGGTAAAGACGACCAGAAGTTTTTAGGAGAGGGAAGAGACTTTCAAATGCAATGAAATGAAAGGCTGTATTAAAACATGTCTAACTAGCATCATTATGGTGACAAAACGAATTATTTTGCATCCCTACACGAAGCTGCAGGATCTCCCCAAAGTTGACTTTTTAATGCACATCTCACTCACCATAAATTTTAAAAGCATAATAAGCTTTCAAGTCTCTGGGAGCCATTTCACTCATCACTGAAAACATGTCCAAAAAATCATCTAAAGTCATGTTGCCATCTCCACCCTCTGAGAAAACCTCTGCTATCCGCTGGCGGAACGGGTTGTCCTGGGAAACAGAACACAGGAGCAGGGGAAGGTCATCTTTACCAGCATTTATTTCACTGCAGAGAAGACAATTGGAGCGAGATTATTTTTGCTGTAACCTCTTTTTGGCAAGTGCTCCCTTTTCTGCTGTTCTGTTCTTGTAGGCAGAGGTAGACACAGCTGCAGCCCTCTGTAACCTTTACGCCGTTTCAGAGCGCTTTCGGGAATCACTAGAAGCTTCCAGAAAGCCTTTTGACTTCAATAGCCAAAATTTCTTTGTATTTCAGCCTCCCAGCAATTAGTAGTGGATAAATTATTCAAACAGGGTTAGATTAAACCGAAATGTGTCACTCGATTCCAGTTGTGTACCTTTAGCTCTGGCATGCTGCCAATGAGTTCATAGGGAAGTGTCACGTCTGGTTTATGTGTGTAGTCGAGCGGAACTAGCTGTGGGGCTAGATCTCGGTATCTGTAAAACAGTCTGCAACAGAAAGAAAGATTTGTTTAGGGAACAAGTTCTGTAGATCTCCAGGAGCAGTGTGTCTTTTCCAGGACTGCCTTTTCCATCTCACTCCTCACGCTTTGCGTGCGTTACCAGATCGGTATCAGTCACTAAATAACATTTAGTGTGCTCTGTAGGTGGTGGTGGAAGGGAGTATTAAAAAGAACTCTTCAACTGGTGAAAAATGCAAAGCCTTTCATGTTCACGGAACAATCAGGTGAAAATGCTTACCCAGGTCAGGCAGCCAAACCACTAGATACCGTGTATCTGAAACCAGAATTTTACAGTTTCAGATGTATTTCTGCTTTACGACTGGGTGTACTTAGGTGTCTGTGTTTATGAGAACAAGGCACAAGACCTTCCACATGCAGGTCCACCTAATCAGTTTCCAAACAGAGAAATGCTTGTGGCAAGGCAAAAGGGATTTATTTTCTGAGTCCACAGTGAATGTGACCAAAAAAAATGGGCTTAAACTGGAGCATGAAAGATTCAGTTTAAACAGCAGAATAAAACCCCGAATGCCTAAAGCCATGGGCAGGAAGAGCTATCTGGAACTAACTCTAGCAGGATTCTATCCACCCTGAGTATCTTCCTGTTTTTCATAGAACTCAGGGTCAAAAGACAGAAAATGTGTGTAAGGATATTAATTTATCCAACACTTTCAGGATGCTGTTTCCTTTAGTTCTCGTGCTAGAGTAAGGAATAAGCTGTTGGTAACAGCCATTACCAACAAAACAATAGGGCAGAACCTTAAAAGGGATCCTTATCAATAATAAATGTCTTATGACACAGTTATGGCTCTGGCATCTATTTACGGTGTGGAAAGATGACAGGTTTAGATTTCAGTTATTACAGAACCATTCACATTTTATCCTGTCTAGAATTCATACACAGATGTGCAGGTTCTAAAGAGGGACGTGCTCTGGACAAGGTTGTTACCTTCAGCTGAATTAGCAAAAAACAGTGGGGACATCTTGAGAGATGCAGAACCTGAGCACTTCCCTTTCTGCTGGAACACCAAATGGTTAAGAATGGCAAGTGCAACTTCAATAGTGTGGGTGTTACTACCTGAGTAAGGATTTTAATGAGAGGAGAACAAGTTCAGGTTTTCAGTGAAGATTCTCAGTCTTACATGAGCAGAATACTGAGCCTGTCTTTGTCAGATCCTTTGGCCAGAGATTAAACGGAGTGCTTGATGGGGTGACTGAAGGCTTTGGGAACAATGCATCTTAGAGCAGTATCATTTATAAGAAGACATGAAGAAAATTTGACACGGTCATGAAGGTTTTCATAAAGCAGGCAAAGTATTCTGAAGAATAACAGTACACTTGGAAGCATCTGTCATAAAACAAGGTGAAAGGAATGTGGATGTCCCTGGCAAAGGAGGCACTGATATAACCTTTTACATTTATCTCTGTTAACTAGAGAGAGACTGGTACCTTAATACAGAATTTAGGATTCTGGCTCAGTTTAGGATAGATACCAGAGAGTTTGTACACAAAAAGGCAACAAAAATGCTCTGGCTTCCCAAAGGTATCACTCTGAATTTGTGTAAATCCATTTCCAAACTATTTCTAAATACCTCACCCTATATGTAACTCATCTTTATAACAATCTCTGTCTTTTACCCACAAAATGCATATAGAAAACTCACCTCAGTATTTCTTTCCTTGTAAAGAATGTGCAGTCCTGTGAAATAAGAAAAGATATAACATGTAATGCCGGTATTTAGCATGCACTGACCCAAACTTTTCCCATATAGCAGCTTAAATGGAGTTACACTGCAATATATGTGGCCAAGCATTAAAGCTCTTTCTTTTTGGCACATAATTAAGAGTATTTTATAACTCTTCTTCTAGATGTAAGAATCAAACTATGTTAGTAAAATCTTTGCTGTAGTTTAGTACTCCTAATTCATAGTTTTTAAGAGAGATTTTTTAAAAACCCCATTATTTGCCATTATTCAACGTTCTGTCCAAACAGCCATTTAGTTTGTTTTGTACCTGATACGCATCCAGTTGCTCTTGAGTGAAAACAGTTTGCTTGTTGCCCATTTCTAGCTCTGAATGCTAATTCTAGTCCCATCATTCTTTCCTCGGGGGCACCTTTATAGGCAGGCTGGATATTCAGTTATTAAAAGCTGCAACAATGAGGTTCAGGTATAGCAGAGGATCAAGTAACCAGCTTCCCTATTCCCCAGGCTGTAAAGTATCATAATAGGAGCATTTCATCAAATCTTTAGTCTCAAGGCTCTTATCCAGCATCACTCACCTGTCTCCGGTGTGCACAGTGGGGACTCATGTTACAGTATTTACCCAAACAAGTAACAGCAGCTGGTTTATGTCTTTGAAGCAGCAGGAAGACGTCATGGGGCATGCTTTTTTATCCCTTCACCGATGGTAAAGTAACGGCAAAGCATCAGTGGTGTCTGTCTGCTTTAAGAATTAACACCAAATATTAGGAATTCATAACAGTGATGGTAACCCCTCATCCTTTCCTTCTCACTGCTCCCTGTAATACACATTATACACTAATATACCGTACTTTGTGCTGAAGGTAGTATCTATAAAGTCCAGTCCCTTTATTCTGTATTATCTGCTGATATACATCACCACCACTTAATGATTATTAGTGTGACATGCATACGTATATAGTGCATATACATGTTCATACATGTGAACAGACATATGATGTTACAGGCTGCATGGATTATGCAACCAAGGGATGGAGGAAGAGGAGGCTGCACAACCACAGCCTTTATCTATTGATCACCTTCATTTCTTGGGCATTGCTACTGTGCCCGGTGTCCTCCCCTCAGTGAAGGAAGGGGCCTCATGCGCCAGTGTGCCTTCAGAGTCATGGAATCATGGAATGGTTTGGGTTGAAGGGACCTTAAATCTCCTCCAGCTCCAACCCCTGCCACGGGCAGGGACCCCTTCCACTGGAGCAGCTTGCTCCAAGCCCCTGTGTCCAACCTGGCCTTGAACACTGCCAGGGATGGGGCAGCCACAGCTTCTCTGGGCACCCTGTGCCAGCGCCTCAGCACCCTCACAGGGAAGAGCTTCTGCCTTGTATCCAGCCTAAACCTCCCCTGTTTCAGTCTGAACCCATCACCCCCGTCCTATCCCTCCAGTCCCTGATGCACAGCCCCTCTCCAGCATCCTTGTAGCCCCCTTCAGACACTGGAACTGCTCCGAGGTCCCCACGCAGCTTCTCTTCTCCAGGCTGCACAGCCCCAATAAACCCCCCCCGGGAATGGCGCTGCCCGGAGGGACACCGCGAGTGGGGCCGGCTTGATCCCGGCGCACCCCGGAGCTCCGCTCCCTCCCTTCAGGGCGGCCGCGGGCCTTCCCTCAGGGCCGGAGGAGGCGGCGCGGGGGGGGGGACGGGACGGGACGGGACGCGCCGTTGCCGTGGTAACGCCGGCGCCCGGCAGGGGGCGCCGTGGCGCGGCGGAAGAGCCATGGCGGACTACGAGGCGGTGCAGCGGGGGCCGCTGCGGCTGAAGGGCGGCGGAGCGGGGCTGGGCGCCGGGAAGCGGTGAGTACCGGGGGGGGGAACGGGGGGCAGCCGGGGTTGTGCCCTGACCGCCCTCCGCCCGCAGGAAGAAGAAGAAGGCAAAGGACAAGGCCCAGATCCTGGAGCAGATCGTGAGCAGCAAGAAGCAGGAGGAGGAGAAGAAGCGCGGCCTGGACAAGCGCACCCCGGCGCAGGTGGCCTACGAGAAGATGCAGGAGAAGCGGGTAAAAAACGGCTTTAAAACCCCCTTTGGAGCCCCCAGAGGCCGGCCCGGAGGGGCTGTGGGTAACTGGGCTCTCTTGTGTCTGCAGCAAATGGAGAGGATCCTGAAGAAGGCATCCAAAACCCATAAGCAGAGAGTGGAGGTGAGTTGAATTGTCCTGATTCACGCAGGCTGCTGAGGCTTGGTGGGCTGGGGGAGCTGTTTTGCCTCCATGAAACACGGAACCGGGGCCTTGTGGTGATGTCAGCGCCAAATACTCAACATTCTCTTCCTCTTTCTCTCCCCTTAGGACTTCAACAGGCACTTGGATACTCTGACTGAGCACTACGACATTCCCAAAGTCAGCTGGACAAAGTGAACGGGCTGCTTTTCAAGGCTTTGGACCAGGGGGTGTGTTTTGTTGGTGTTAAGCAGGGTTGCCATGTGAATGTGTGTAATCCCCACACCCATCGTTTATCTGTCTCCCGAATGTTGATGGATTTGTACTTTTATTTTGTTGGTTTGGGTTTTGAAACCGAATGTTTAAGAAAATCCATCTTTTCTGACGAGCTCTGATTTATGATTGTGCAGAGGGTTTGGGGGTTTTTAGTGCTTACAGCAACAGTAAGGCCACAATCGATTGCTGTTAGCCAGCTGCAAAGGGTTCCTTTATTTATTTGGTATAGTTCTTTTCAGACATCCAGGCCTGGCAGCCTCTCATAAGTTTCTCTTGCAAGAGAGAGGAATTGTATAGTTTGTTTCCATCTAGAGGCGGAGGGTCTGCTGTAATGTGTAACATTAATGTCACTATTAAAATGCCGCTTTCATCCTTTTATTGGTGCCGATTTACCTATAAATGGGCGGAAGAATTTGCGCGTGGAGTTTCTGTAGTGCCTTTCCTGTCTTTATAACTCGTGCTGCCTTTGAGAGATGACATATGCCATGTACCTCAATTAAAACCCCAACATGCCTCTTAAACCTGAATATTGTTCTTGACTGGGAACACCGTCCCTCTGCTCTAGCTGCCCGGAGCCCTTCCTCAGCCTGGGCAAACTTTCCCCTCTTACCCGGTGCTGCTTTCACCACCATGGGGGGAGGAAGATCCCGGGACTATTTGCCGCCGCCCTCCGCCGCTGAACGTGTTCTTCCGCGGTCCCCTGCGCATGCCCCTCCTCGCAGCAGCCGGGTCTCGTTGCGCCGCTTCCTCCCGGAAGCGGAAGTGGGTGCGTGTGCGGCCCGGGCGACACGGCGGCCCCGGCGGGCGGCGGGGCGGCGATGTCGGCCAGCGCCGTCTACGTGCTGGACCTGAAGGGGAAGGTGAGGTCCGGCCGGGGCTGGAGGCGGAGGAGCGGCGTCCCTCGCCCCGGCGGGGGTGCTGAGGGGCCCGGAGGGTGCCCCGGCCTCGCTCGCTGGGGGCTGCGGGAGCCGCGCTCCCCTCTCCGGCACCTCCTTGCCGCCAGCCCAGCTTCTTGAGGCACTGCGGGCCTCAGCTGTAGCGGGAGAGTCGTGGCCTGTGGCTCGGCTCCGGGTGCTGAGGGGGGTGGCTGCGGAGAGCTGGGGTGCGACCTTGGGCACCCCAGGGGTAATTAATCTTTGCACTACTTGGAGGGAGTTTGTCTCAGAGGAGCTGGCTTGTTTTCCCGTCGCAAAAGCGTCTTTAGGGCTCGTGCAGCAGTAGGTGAAGAACAATGAAAAACATCAGTGCAGTGAAAGGTTAAGGAGTCGCGTTCTAATCAGTGTTTTAGCGTTGTGGTTTGCGTTTGTGCAATGGCTGGAGTGAAGTTAAAAGTTACTTAGTGAGGCCTTCCAAATACCTCGTGCATTGGCCTTGCGTGGTAACATCATCTCGTGAAAGAGAAAAGAAAGATGAGTTTGTCCCTCTCTTCGTAGGTTCTTATCTGTCGGAATTACCGCGGAGATGTGGACATGTCAGAGGTGGAGCATTTTATGCCGATCCTTATGGAAAAGGAAGAAGAGGGGACACTTTCTCCCATTCTAGCACATGGAGGAGTTCGTTTTATGTGGATTAAACACAACAACTTATATCGTATCCTTTATACTGCAGATAACTCCTGTGTGCTGAGATACAGAGGGCTGCCACAATATTTGTGTTGTTTTGTGTCTAAATGCAAAGCTGGAGAATGGGTGAAGTAACATAAGGAGGCTTTATTAAATAAAGTTGGTTTATGCTTTGCATGGAGCAATGTGCACCAGCAGGACGGGGTGCAGAAAAGGGTTTATGTGAATTCTACTCTTTCCCAAAAGTTTATCTTCATTTCTTTCCTAAAGGCATTTATTAAACTTTTGTTTTTAGTGGTGACTTTGAATGCATTTTCCTGAGCATCCTTTATCAGTTGTTGCAACCTCTAAGAAAAATGCTTGTGTGTCACTGGTGTTTTCATTTTTATATAAAGTAGTTCAGGTGAGTATGAAATCTCCAAAGTCACTTCTGGCTTCTTTTCAGTTCAGTCTAAATCTAATCTAAATATAAATGCCTAGAGCTTTCCCACAGATAAAGAACTCTATGGTAGTAGCGTTTTTTACTTTATAGTTGGTTATTTTGTAGAACTATCTTCCTGTAGTAATGGAATTGATATTTTGTAGCTGAGCAGGCAAAGGATGTGACACAATGCTGCAAGTAGTTGTACAAGGCCTGAGAACATGGAGAATGGTGAACTTGCTGCATGAGTAGTGGCGTATTGTGTAGTTCCTATGGTTGGTTCATCTGTACCTAGTGTGAAAAAGATTTTCTCCAAAATAATTATTTTTCACAGTAGTTATTGTTGCTTTTAGGATTCACTTAACTCTTTTAATGGAGGTGGATTTCCTGAGGCTGAATCTGCTGAATAGAATGCTGTTTGTGAATGAGGGTGTTTGGTTCGGGGCTTTTTAAGACTTGTGATTTTAGATACAAGAAGACATTCTGAATGTGCTGTACTTCCCTCAGTTAACATCCTCCTTCCTCCCCTCCCTCCTGTCATTTTGTTTCAGGTTTTTTCTGAATATTTCAAGGAGTTGGAAGAAGAGAGCATTAGGGACAATTTTGTTATTATTTATGAGTTGTTAGATGAGCTTATGGATTTTGGTTACCCACAAACCACTGATAGTAAAATTTTACAAGAGTAAGTATCGTTCTGTGTCACTTACAGTGACAGACTTCTTGGAAAGTTTTGAGCATCCTTCCATATGCAAACAAATGCTTTGCTTTGGTCTAGGTAGCAAAAGAATTAATGTTCCTTTTCTTCATGCCAATTGTGTGTGAAGGTACATCACTCAGGAAGGCCACAAACTTGAAACTGGAGCTCCACGTCCACCTGCCACTGTTACCAATGCTGTGTCATGGAGATCAGAAGGGATAAAATACAGGAAAAATGAGGTGTTCCTGGATGTTATAGAGTCTGTTAACCTTTTGGTGGGTACCTTTTATTGTAACTTTGAATGAAAATTGTAATGGAAAGTGGTGAAAGTGCTTTACTGTCTGAAAACCTGCAGGTTGCAATAAAAAGTCAGATTGACTGTGGCAAGTGGCCTGTGCTGCTGAAAACCATGTCAGTTATTGAGACCCAAGTACTACCCATAAGGACATCCAGTAGACAAACAGTGCTTTACTTGTACGCATTGTAGAATCATAGAATGGTTTGGGTTGGACGGGACCTTAAGATCATCCAGTTCCAGTCCCCCTGCCATAGGCAAGGTCCCCTCACTCTAGACCATGTCACTCAAGGCTCTGTCCGACCTGGCCTTGAACAGTGCCAGGGATGGAGCATTCACCACTTCCCTGGGCAACCTGTGCCAGTGTGTCACCACCCTCACAGTAAAGAATTTCTTCCTTGTATCTAACCTGAATTGCTGATTTCTGATCTGTCCTTCCCTCCTCTGTCTGTGCCCATCACCTCCCTGATCTAATCTGCTGGATTAATTTCTCAGGTGAAAGACATCCTAGAAGACTTGGGACATGGGGATGGGGTGGGAGTGCTTGATGTCGTAATGTATCCCATCAGAGCAGTCTTTCTTTTTGTTTTACTTCAGGTCAGTGCCAATGGGAACGTATTACGGAGTGAGATCGTTGGATCCATTAAAATGCGAGTCTTCCTCTCGGGAATGCCAGAGCTGCGCCTGGGTTTAAATGACAAAGTTCTCTTTGATAATACAGGCCGTGAGTATTTCAGTGAAACCTCAATAATCATGAAAGATGTTGTCTGAAGTCAGCTGAAGTTCAGCTGAAAGGATTTAGTCAAAGGTGATAGAAATACACCCCTTTTCAGTGTAGAAAACCACACTGGTTCTTGTGTGACACTATCAGGTGAAGATGGAATACCATGGTAATGTGTGCTGACCACCTAGGTTTCCTCATCCCGTTTTTCACTGGGACTTCTGTAGTCCTAAAAAGCTCTAGCAAGCTAACGAACAAAGTGGCTAAAAGGGAGGAATGTCAGCAGAGAACAGCTCTGCTGTGTGGCTGGCACTGATGAGACTTTGGACATCAGTTGTGCAGCACCTTGAAATACGTATTTATATCTAGGTGGCAAAAGTAAATCGGTAGAACTGGAAGATGTGAAGTTTCACCAGTGCGTTCGTCTCTCTCGCTTTGAGAACGACAGGACAATTTCTTTCATTCCGCCTGATGGAGAGTTTGAGCTCATGTCATATCGCCTCAACACCCACGTGAGTCTGGGTGTTTGCTTTTTCCATGATAACAGTTCAGATTGTAGGCAGCATTGCTGATAGGTTTCCCTTAATTATTTGTTTTCCTTAAAATCTGGGCAGCATGGTAGTTTTCAGATCAACTATTAATGAAGCTTTGTGCTCCTCTCTTTGGAGGAAGAATGAGTTTGGACTTGTCAGTAAACCCCTGTATTTTCAACTGCTGTTGAAACTCTTCCTGAAGTAGCATTCCTGTGGTGACTTTTTCAGCTAAGTGCATGATGAAATGTCAGTGTAGCAATTGACCAGTGTCCTTGGTTCAGCTGGAGCAGTCATTTTTCTCCTTTCGACTTTAGTCTGAGAACAGTGCTGATAACACCCCGATGGTTTTGTCCTCAGACTGAAGTCAAGAATTTGGTCCTTGGTCCATGGCATATCAATGCTTGCTCATTTGTATAATTGTATTTTTAATAAACCCCCAGCTTGGTTATCCTTGCAGGTACCACAGACTTTGTTTTCTGTGGGGTTCACGTGTTGAGTGTAGCTTTATGGGGAAGCAACATTGGAATGACCATGTCAAAGGAAAACTACAGCTGTTAAACGTGTTTCTTCTCCCATTAGGTAAAGCCACTGATCTGGATTGAGTCTGTGATTGAAAAACATTCCCACAGCCGCATCGAGTACATGATCAAGGTCAGCAATTCTAATCATGGCTAATTTCAGTCTTTCATTTGTTCTCAAAGCTTGACAAGCAGTTTGGGCATTTCTAACTTCATTAGTAAGCGTGTGTTACAGCTCTGTTCCTTGCTGTGTAGGTTGGGACAGGGGGAATTGTGTGTCTCAGCACTCACTAGCATAATGGAAATATTTAGAGGGCTGCTTTTCTGATGCAGTTTTTCAATTTCTTCAGGCAAAAAGTCAGTTTAAACGTCGCTCAACTGCCAACAACGTGGAGATTCACATTCCAGTTCCAAACGATGCGGACTCGCCAAAGTTTAAAACCACTGTTGGAAGTGTCAAATGGGTTCCAGAGAACAGTGAAATTGTGTGGTCCATTAAGTCTTTTCCAGTAAGTGTTATTTTTAGTCTTATTACCTGTTAGTGTAATAATTAATTAATGTTAATATTTTATGCATGTTCAGACTCTGCCTATTAGAAGCAGATTCTAATATCTAATAGTATCTAATAGTACTGGCTTCTTCCTCTTCTCCCTTGGCTGAAGGGTTGGAACTTGCAAGTAGATGTTTAAGATACTGCTGTTTATATTAGTTTAACTGGGATATTTTTTTCAGAACAAGGTTAGAGAGCAGATTTTTGAGCCATGTCTGTGGATGGTGTAATCCCTTGGCCTAGGTTTTAGCAGCAGCTGTTTAGTTTGTCAGACTGTGCTTCTTGGGTGGTTCCGTGAGCATGAGCTCTTTCAGATGCCAATGGAGTGGTGGTACAGCTGTCTGTCACTGTTTAGTCAGAAAGGGCAGCAGCATTGTTTTCATTCGAGTATGAGCCTGGAAGAAAATTAATTGTGCCTCAGGCTGGTCCTGATTTTATCTGAATCTTAAAAAAAAAACAAAAACATTTTTTAAATAAAAACAAGTGCTCGCTTTTAAGTCCTAGAGAAGAGCTGGAGGGATGGTGGAGCTCAGTGATTTGGCATTAAGAATATACCACTTGTGTTGTTGCAAGTGTGTTGTATTTTTTCTTCAAGAAAAAAATGTGTCCTTTTTGCTAGGGTGGAAAAGAATACCTGATGAGAGCTCACTTTGGACTTCCAAGTGTTGAAGCTGAAGATAAGGAAGGAAAACCTCCCATAAGTGTAAAGTTTGAGATTCCATATTTCACCACTTCAGGAATCCAGGTTAGTAGCTGAAAATAGAAATACTGATGAGTATTTTTAGGCTCTTCGTGCACAAGTTTTTCTCATCTCCATGATTCCTGTTCAATGTTACCCATAATCCATATTTTTGACCCACCCAAAAAATCTTACTTTTATCTTCTTTGCTAAATGCTGCTTGGCTTACACTGGAGACTTCATTTCTTTAACATCCCTTTCTTTCTAGGTTCGTTACTTAAAGATAATTGAGAAGAGTGGCTATCAGGCTCTCCCATGGGTTCGTTATATTACCCAGAATGGAGGTAAGTAGAATCATAGAATCACAGAATGGTTTGGGTTGGAAAGGACCTTCATACTGTTTCAACCCCCCTGCCATGGGCAGGGACACCTCACACTAGACCATGTCACCCAAGGCTCTGTCCAACCTGGCCTTGAGCACTGCCAGGGATGGAGCATCTACCACCTCTTTGGCTAAACCTGCTCCAGTGCCTCACCACCCTCACAGTGAAGAACTCCTTCCTTATCCCTAATCTGAAATTCCCCTGTTGCAGTTTGAACCCATCACCCCTTGTCCTGTCCCTACAGTCCCTGATGAAGAGCCCCTCTCCAGCATCTTTGTAGCCCCCTTCAGACACTGGAAGCTGCTCTGAGGTCTCCATGCAGCTTCTCCTCTCCAGGCTGAGCAGCCCCAATGTTCTCAGCCTGTCTTCATATGAGAGGTGCTGCAGGCCCTGATCATCCTCCTGGCCTCCTCTGGACTTGCTGCAATAGCTCCATGTCCTTCCTATGTTGAGGACACAAGAAAGCAATACACTGTAGGCATCTCCAGCTTCCATATTTTGTTTCCCTAGCATAAACCTCCAAATAGAAACGCACAAATGCAGTTTGCTCATATTCCTACGTATTAAACTATATGGTTTAGACACAGATTAAGGTTTGCTGCTTTTTAAAGTCACCTTTTTTGGTGTCTTAATGAAAGATCCAATGGGATAGTTCACTATTTTGTAATTAAGCTGAGGTTTGGTGAGATTTTTGGAATATAAATTTAAAAAGAGATCACTCACACATACTATTCTGCTAGCTTCAAGATGTATGAGCCGCTGTCTGCTATAAGATACTAGATTGTTAGCAAGTAGAAGTGGTACTGGTGGGGGGGTGTTGTTTTTTTTCTGCCTGCAATTACCTTAATCACTTTAGAGCTCATTATCATGGCCATTCTAAGCAAAGTTATGGGTTTATTTGACATCTCTTCATCCCCATTTGCTCATCTGCTTTGCTGAAAGGATTTAGTAAACCACTTTTGGCTTTTTTCCCCTGTACAGACTACCAGCTTCGAACACAGTAAAACCCCTCGCAAGAACCACAGACAACAGAACTTCAAGCCTGGAATTTGTTTGCAGAAGCTTCTGTGGTGCTGAGAGCTGTGAATGTTGTTGCCAAGGGTCTTGTTTCTGCAGTCTTGGATTGGCAGGACAGAGATTGGAAATTCACTGTTTTCAATAATGTGTTTGAGCATTTGAACCATTAGTATTGATTGTGTGAATATTTATTTCATTCTTAGAACATGCTGATCTTGCTGCTAAATGCTAATTCTGAGTAGCAGTTACCTTGAGGAGCCAGGAATACAGAACAGACCTTGAGAATGTCTTGTCAATGCCTTGTCTGTTACATCCACAAAGTTTCTAGTATTCATCTTTTAGGATCTCTGAAGACATTGGCAGGGTTATGCTACAAATTAGGGAGACAATTGTGCAATTAAAATGACTGCTGAACACTTAGTTGTATTTAGCCCAAGGTATTTATTTTTTTCTGGGCATATGGGTGCCTTAACTCATTCAAAGCTCTGTTAACTTATAAAAATTAATGGAAAATGAGTTTCAAGTCAATGTGAAATCAACACTTACTATTTGCTCTTCTTTTGCATGGTTTCAAACCAGTTTGTCTGACAGAGCAACTTCAAGTGAAGGGTTTGGAAATGAAAATATGGGTTTGTTAAAGACTTAAGTTAACCAAGAACAAGGGATCACAGAAGTAAATGTCTATGGGAACATCTCTGTAGAAGCATGATGATTGCTAGTTTGAGTTAGTCAGAATGCAGACTGAAAAGTTTCAACCGTATGCTACCCCTAGGGCATGGAAACGCTCTGCCAATTGATGAGCTTTTGCTTTCTTTTGATTTCTGTTTGTAAAACAAGTTCCAAACTCTAATAAGTAAGCATAAAACCTTAGCTTAATTATTGGAAGACAGATCAAAATCATTTTGGAGGTGATGACATTTGGTCGGAAGATGGGATTTTTACTATTATTTTTCCAGATGATAGTAACATACTCCAACCTCTTCTGGCAAATTGATTGGTGTTGGTGAAGAGGCTGATAAAAACACAGTTGCCATTTTAATTCCAGCTTGCCTTTGTGTTAATTTAGGGTAAATATTTCCCTTTTTTGGTATAGCTTGCTAGAATTTAACTTTATTTGTCCTAAGGGAGATGCTTTCTTTCTCAGTCTTTTCCATTTGTAAGCAACTAGAATTCTAGCTTCCTGGCAGATGGATAACAGTTCAGAATGTTATACTTAAAGGTATTATGTTTTTTTTACATACTGTTTCATTTTGTATTCTGAGAAGCTAAGGTTGGCATGGGTGTACATAGTTATTTTGATTTAATTTGGGGTGTTTTTTTTTTCCCAGAAAAAAATGATGGTTATCAGTATTTTTCTTTATAAACAGTTTTTAGAATGCTTTGGTTTGAATTTAGTACTCCTGACAGATGCTAAACTTAAACCAGCAGAATCTAAATATATGTCTGCAAACGTGATGTACTACACTGTGCTCAAGGTTTCTCCACACCACTCTGGTGACAGTCCTTGACTCTCCCGCCAGATCGAGAAGACATTTCACTCATTGTCCCCACTAAATCCTTGTAGACCCTATATATAGATATACTTGGGTATACAGTATATACTGTTAGCAAAAAGACCCAGTTAAATTCCCTTGCAGTGCAGCTGCTGTGACACTAGGGGAAGATCTGCCTCAGGAAGGACTGATCTCTGCTGGTACCGAGGCAATACCAGTTAGGCAATGGTAGGTGTGGATGTGTGTATTCTGCAGTAAGGTTAGTGTGTTTGCCACCTCACAAGCTCAATGTTGAAACAAATTAAATCATCCTCAAGATTTGGTTCCACCACTCATTTTCATGTGAACAATGAAGCTTATGACTGGACTGAACGTTTTTATATTAAAACTGTAACTGGTGGACAAATCATTCTCTCAGGACTGTTTTTCTTCCAAGTGTTCGCTTCTATTATTTGTCTGTAAAATGTGACTCTTGATCACTGTTTGCTTTCCTGTTAAGGGTTGTATCTTGCAGACCAGGACAGCGTTTTCTCCTGTTTCTGTTTCAGTGATGGGGCATCAGCCGTGCTTGTCCAGGAAGTAATAAAGGGCAAAACCTCTGCTTTGAGTCAGTTGTACTTCAGATTGTAGCCTCTAATCTTCAAGTACCCTCAGCTATTCTGATACGAGGCCTGAGTGGTTGGAACTGACTTCATATTCCTCTCCCTGATTTGTCAACCAAATACTGACGAAACCTTTGCTCACTGCTTGTTCTCTGCCAAATCTGCCTATGTGCCATAAAACTAGTGCTCGTTATCACCCTCTATTTCAGAAAGCAAAATAAACCCTACGTCTTCATCCATTCCTTGTTGAAGTGTTGGGTTGTTTGGGCAGAAAGGCACAAACTCAGTGCTAGCATCTCTAGCTCTTATTCAAGGAGTAACTTGTTTATCCTTTGTAAGCTTTGTTCTCAGAGCAGCTGCTAAATCTTCCTTCTCTTGGTGCCTTCTGTTCTCTGCCTAGTATGGAAAACTGTAAGTTTGATGGTCTGCTGCTGCCTTACAGGTTAATACCTAATACAAAATACTTCTAAAAGACAGTTTGCACAATTCAGGTAAGCAGTGAAGCGTCTCATCTGTGTTTTCAGCTCCACATGGTTTCATAGCTGTGTTACCTGGAATTTGGAATATTGAAAGACTAAACTTAGGTGGCTCTGCAACCACTGTTCCTAAGCCTGATGTTTAAACATTCTCTGCAGTCTTAGTGATACCCTGGAAGCAGGCTGTTTTTTTCCTCAGTGAGCTTAAGTGTGTTTCCCTTCCCTATCCTACCACAGACTGCTGGCTTAGATATTTCAGCAGCTGGAAGCAGTCCCCTCTCCCTTTCTTGGCATGCAAAGACTAACCTCATCTACTCATTATTTAATTGCTAGCCGATTAGATAGCTGTCCCTCAAGGTGCGTCAGCGGCACTCCCCGCTGCAGTAAATAGGTAGTGTTACTTCCTGTAGTAGTGTGTGTGTGTATCTGATCTCTTGGCTTTCTTAGAATGAAAGATTGCAACGAGCTCTCTCCTTTTTTCTTGTTCCCTTCACTGCCACTTCTGCCAGTAGATGGCATTGGGAGCTCACTGTGTGTGTTAATGACCAGAGTCGTGCAAACTGTGTACTAAATGTGTCTCTTCGTTTGGACAGTACAGCTATTTTAGTGCCTCTGAAAAAAACCTATCTGAAAGTATTTGGTTTTTAGGCCGATGCAGTCAGATTGTTGGAGGTCAGTAACTTCTCTGTAGTTTTAGATTCTCTCTGTTCTTTCTGTTACTCCCATGTGGCTGATAGTGGTGATACTGCGAGGCAGAGCAGGGGGCATCAGCCAAAGGAAGGGATGTGCTGATCCACGGTGCCACTGAAGCAGCTACTTGTTGTTTGTTGTACATTGGCTGGGACCTTGCTGGGTCAGAAGTTAAGGCTTAGCTGGTCCGAAAGCTCCTGCTTGGTACAACATGTGTGAGAGAGCATCTTCTTCCCTTTTCCCCCCCTACTTGATTATCTCTTGAGAAGACTCTTTGTCTCAGTAAAAGGAGCCAGAACCTGCCTCCCAATCAAGTAAAGTGGCTGCCAAAGCAAAGCTTCATTCCACATTGCCTTCCCACTGGAGAGATTTTCTTTGGTGTTCTCTTTAATGTTTCTACTCTTCCTTATTGCCATCCTTTATGCTTGTGTACTGATTGCACTGCTTATATTTGCTTCCCAACTCTAATCCCAGCCGGTTTTGTCTATGAAACATTCTTACACGTAAAAAAAGACAATAAGACTTTATCCATTGTGGGTTTGTCTGGGGTTAAGGGACTGCACCTGTTTATTTCTGACTGTGTACTCTCTGACAAGAAGTGGGCTTGGCATTTCTAGCTTTATCTGGTGCCAAATGCAGTGTGTTGCAATTCGTTCAGCGCTTTTTTTCCCCTCTGTGGTTGACACCCACTGCTGTTTGTAACTTCAGCCGCCCTGGCACCACGAGGGTTGATGGCCTTGCAGAAAATAGCGTGAGAGAGCAAAGTTAAGAACCAAGATGAATAATCTGCATTGCTATGGTAATTAATGATACAACAATGTCATTTATGTTCCAGGAGAAGTCGTCCTGAAATCACAAACCATCGTAAACCACCTTCTCCACTGTGATTTTTGTGCAGCCTGGAATGTTCTGTGAGTCCTGCCCTCTGTATGCACAGATAAAACTTGTTTCTCTTGTAGCTGGGGCATGTTGTCTTGACTCAGCGTTTGTGCAAGTGCAGTTAGTCACATCTCTCGCTGTACTCAGATGCAGGAGGTTCCCTTTTGGAGTTATTCCACTGTGTCATTAGCGCATTAGGTTGGGGTCTTTCTGTACGCCCTCCCTTCCAGGGCCCGGTGAGCTGGGCTGTACCTTTGATCTCTTTGGTTTTGGCACTGGGGGGTCTGTGTGCAGATCATGGCCAGCTCTGGATGTGGGATCTTCACAACATGACCATTGCTCTGGGCAGCAGCACGTCTGGCTCTGGGCCTTGTGCCCCACTTCCTAACCAGCAAAACATAATGTGCTTTTGGAAGATAGGAGTTTAACTCACTTCTGTGTTTGTTCTCGTGGAAGTGAAGGACTGTTTTATTAGGAGCTTGGTGCAAACAGCCACCTGAAAGTGAGATCATCGAGAGCCCTGTGAAACTAATGGCATCACATGGGAAGATTAAATCCACTTGTCCCAGTTCTGCTGCTCCGTGGGTGTTGCAGACTGGTTGGATCAGAGGATTTGGATAATTTTGAGTTTAATAGCAAAAATTATGCCCAGCTTAACTTATGACCTCTCCTTCTTCCCTCCTCAAGCTGTGAGCATCTCTTAATGCTCATTCTGCTCTTGTTGACTGCCCTGGCAGCTGCAGCATTGCACGGATGCAGCTTCATTTTGCTGTAGGTGGAATTACCCTGGGTTACTCTGCAAACAATGTGGGCTAGAACTTGGAGCCTCCGAGTTCATTTGCAGGCTGATGGTCAAATAAATAAGCAGAAACAGGCCTGAATCAAATGCTCAGCAACATGAAGAACAAGGCACTCCCAAAGTCAGCGTGCAGGGCTAGGGCCAGGCCTGGAGAAAAGTTTTGTAGGCTTAGTTCAAATGTTGGCTGTGGATTTGTACCTTGGATCAAAGTTTTGGTGCAGGCCCTTCTCCAATATAAAGCGAAGAAACGTAAAACAACAAATACCCAGTGAAATCCAAACACAATCTGCTCGATGTTATGCTACAAGAATGAATGAACTCTGCCTCCCACCCTCTCCCACTGTGGCTTGCTGTGAATAAGCACTGCTCAAAGGAAACTAGCGCAAGAAGTTCTCTTTCCAGCAGGAATAACAATTGAGCAAGGAAAAACGCTGACTAGTTTTCTCCCTGCTCTTCCAGTTGGGCAGGTAGCGAGGAAGAGCAGATGGGGTGTATTCAAGCAACACTGAAAGGACTCACCCTTAGCACAGAATTAAAGCCCAAATAATTATAACACTTTAAAAATGTGTTTTCTGTTTAAAAAACCTCTTTTCTGTCCTCCCTAAGGAGCGTCCCAGACCTCATTTGAGACTTTTAGACCATCTGAAGCAGCGTGGTTGTTGCACCACACATTTTGATGGGTAAAAGGAATGTCTTGGGAAATGAGGCCAACTCAGTTAAATCCATAAAGGTGTTAGTATGAATCTTCAAGCCACTGGGTTCCGAGTCCTTGCTGTACCTGTGGGATCCCATGGAAGGCTCCATAGAGGGATTCCTTTCTGGCAGGCTCAGGGTTGCACTGTTGGGTAACCAGGTTTGAGCCTTTGCTCCACCTTGGAGAGAAGACAAATCTCACCCTGGGTTTTTCTACTTTAAGCCTTAGTTACAGGGTTTATAGAAGCTGCTGGCTCTGCTACTGATGTCCTGGTGAGGGTAAGCACGTTCCTGCACCAGCAGGGAATGAAGGATTTGAGAATCCCATAAAGCCCAGGAGCAGGCACAGGTACTGACATTCTTGTGTCAAGATTTAGGAGGTTTTGCCATAAGGGCTTTGTGAATGGGCTGGCAAATACCCATTGGGTGGCGGGTAGGAGATCTCAACTGTGTGTCAGAAGGAGCCAGTTAAGAGGTAATAGAACACCCAAATCCAGGTGCAGTTTTGTACTGGCAGCAAGTTCTCCCTCAAAGCTCTGGGAGTGCTGCATCCCAGGCTGTGTACCAGTGACTGTTGCGGTCCAGCCAAGGAGAGGGGACAAAGCTCCACAGCCAGGAAGAGCCTGAAGAGCCTTCTGTAGGAAAGCTGCAGAAAGAGCTTGGGGGAAAGGATACAAATGAGGTCTGTTTCGAAATGCCAGCCTTATAAACAAAGCAAATCTGGGGTTTCAGCTGCAGACATAAAAACCCCAGTCTGTAAAGTGGAAAAGGAAGATGCTTAAAACCGACACTGTGCAAAATGCCCCCTTTTCACTCTATTTGTTAAGGAAAGGACTGGTCAGTCCAGTGCTGCAGAGGTAGGAGCCCTTGGCTACCAGAGCTGAGCTCTCATCTACATCCCAGCCACCTCTGATTGCTCCCTGAGCAGCGGTGAGCACATGGAGCCAGTGTTTATTTTCTTCCTTGCTTATTTATTGCAACAAAAGCACAAGGCAGAGGCCTCTACGTGTTGTGAACCCTGCAATTGTTCGAGTTTCCAAGAGGTCACGAGGGTCCCAGATAACATTAGCAGCTAAGTGCCGTGTTGTCCTTTTGTGTTATCAACAGGAAACATCTTTACCAGCACAGGAACTACAGCTTTGTAATTGGCCTGGTGCAAGAACATGACAGTATTTTCTCATCCTATCAGGATTCGGATATTTTGGGAGCTGGTATATAAAGCTGGCGGCACACAGTGTCTTTGGACATTCGGAACAGGTTCATGGCAGAA